GAATGTGCACTGTTGAGGAGTTCCACATTTGAACGGAATGACCTTGTGAATTTAACTACGAGATTACTTTTAAATATACATTAGTGTGGATATAAATCTATATAAATCTCATCATAAGATATAAATTTATGATACTTTACAGTTCACTGAATATTACAGGTTGTTAGCAACTGATGAGAACCATGTCAAACAAAATGAAATCATCTTCTAATCAATTTTCTTACTTTCTACATTAGCAATCCAGTTGTATAGATATACACTTCACTACAGTACAAACTTACTAAATTAAGTTAGTTTATCAAAAAATTTAAGGTTAGCTTATATAATTCTCATGTAAACTTGAGCGTAAAAATGATGTATCATTGCATAGCGGTTTGATATATGTATTCAAATAAACATTGATATAAGACCTTTAAAACTTCAGGTGGATTGTTGGATCTTATCGAAATGAAGGGCCAGTATATGAATATGTATGAATTGTTGAGTTAATTTGTAGGGATCAGTAAATCTTTTAAGGTCAGTCAGTCAGTTAGTTACAACGTAGGATCAGGCACATACATTCATCGGTCCAAGTTGCCACACCACATTAACACAGCACAACGAACACCGGATTCATAGAAGCGATTAACTCATTAATGTAAGGATATGGTATAGAAAGAAAGAATTAGTTCGTTGAAAGAAAGATATGAAGCGATTTTAATCTCATAATTTAAGGGAAGACAGACAGTGTATACACCTACGCCATTGTGATCGATTCTGAGGCATGTCACACAGAGTCTACAACCATTGGTTACAATAGTCACGAGGACCCCAACCAAGTAGTCTAAATCTACCAACATGGCTCGGACTAGAAGTTAGCGACTTCAAGCACTGATGCCTTGTTTCGCTTTGGCCACCCCTAACTTTCTTCCAGCCATTCCCAACACTAGTCAGCATTGTGCATCGTGGTAATCAGTGTTCTGGCCTACCTAACACGTGGCCCAACTAACTCAGTCTATGAAGATACATAACTTCATTAACTGACTTACCATTATTCACTAATACCCTGCATCTAACCTCGCTAATACTTACCCAATGATCCCAGAGGATTCGAGCATTATTTCTAAGGCATCTGTGGTCATATACTGGTAGCATTTGTCAATGATTAACTAAGACTAAGTTACTGATATAAATCAGATAACACTGAACAACCATTTTTTCGCTAATATAAGACTCCTAAATACTACCTATTAAGACACCCTTGCCAGATGTCTTAGTGAACATTCAGTTATAAAACAGTGATTTTAGATTCGGTCATTTGAATTTCTAACTTTATTCAATTAATTTATTGTTAACTTACGAAATGATTGAATATGGAAATGCGAGTCATTGAATTCCAAATTTTTCAGTGGGAACAAGTGACTGCTGAAACTTGACTATAGTAAAAATTCTAGGTTAACTCTCAGAGGAGTATTCAGTATGAACAGCTGATTTGTCCTACACTAAAAAGATGATACTTCAACAATATCAAAGTAGTCACTAAAAAAACTTATTTATAAACTGAAATTGATCAATTTAGTCTAGAAAATGAATAACGAACGAGTATAAATGCTAAATTCACTTGGTACTGTTTGGTTTGAATCTTCTCATTGATGTTTAGGACTGCAATTGATCAGTCTGTTATTGGCATATGTGCATATTGTGCGTATTGCCTCGATATAGGCTTAATTCACAAGCATCATATCCAAAGATGTATAGTGGTTAGCAGTGGAATTTAGGACGTGTAATTCGTCCTATTTAGGACTCGTCAGCTGAATGTATCTGCATCTCAGAATTGATGTTTACTCTGGACCTTTATAACGTAATGCACCATTTTAAAAAATCATCGAAAATCACTAACCAAACGAGTAATTTTATGGTTTTTCGAATCAATCCCTGCTCAACCTCAAATCTCATTAAGTCAAGACACATCATTTTGCATAGCCTACAGTAATAAAACAAAAACATTTAAGCTATCAAACACAGCTAGTCCCCCTTCATCTAGATCTAGTTAATTTGCTTTACAAAAACTTGTCAGTTACTTTGGTTATATAAATTTACTTTATTTTCTAACAATAAGAAATGATACGAAGTCTATTACATTGGAGATCTGCCCAATGAATTGATGTGTATATAACCAGCATAACTCAATCATTGTTAAAGTAACACTAAAAAACTAGGTATTATTTGATCGAATTTCTCCTAGAAGAGTATTGTACAGCGCTGAACGTCGATGACCTTTCTCTTAGGAGTTGCTTTTCAGAACTCTTAAAAACATTGACTTAGCGTTTCATTATAAAATACGAACTTTTATCCATCTGCAATATAGAAGGATAATTATCTAATGACATTGGTATACATTGTTTCACTCAAGATATTTTTGTATAATACTCGTTACAATTTCACATTAGTCCTTCAGGAACATCTTAAAGCTAGTCATTGATGAACTCGATAGGATTTGACAATTGTCTCGTCTTAGTATGTGATTCCTTCTATATTACTTATTTACTTACTTACACCTGTTACTCCCGATGGAGCATACGCCGCCGACCAGTTGATTCCTTCTATATATATACCCCAAAACCTCTGTACATATTATAAATACAGAACAAAATGAAATCATAATGGTTACCAGACACTTAATGATGTACAAATGATCTAATTACCCTGATCTAGGTACACATATATCCAATTAGTTTGATTTAACTAATGACACATGAAAATTAACAGTATGATAAAATGGAAGAACTATCGTTTATATCAGTAATCTTATCTAATGATTGTTTAATGAAGAAGAGATCAGCTTCCAAATGAAGTGGAAATTATTAATAGACGTTGAAATTGGATAGAATAAACATTTTGGAAATCATGAAACTGTATCACGAAACAGACGCTAACTTTGAATCATGAAGGGAAATAGAAAGGTGGATGATCAAAGAATACACTGCCTTGGGAATTGGAAACAGATTTCAAATGATGAATAGCGATTGGGAACAAGTGTAAATGATTGCTCAAAACAGAGCTGGATGAAGAGTCGTGATGAGTGACTTATGCTCCTTCAAGAGGAGTAACAGGCGTAAGTAAGCAAGTATGTAAGTTAAAGGTTCGCATAGGCAATTCTAAATGGCTATTTAAAAATAATCGAAAAATAATGATTCATATGTACTATAAATCTAATAGCTTAATGATTTAATGGGAAACTATATTTTATTGAATCAATATAACATTTTTGATTGAGATCATGAACTGATTGATGTTAGACCACCATTGAAAACCTGAAAGCACTCAATGGCCGTTTCGTCCTATTGTGAGACTCCTCACTGGTATGCATCCACGATTCCACCAGCAAGATTCGAACCCAAAACCTTCAGTCTCGCGTGCAAACGCTCAACCCCCAAAACCACTGAGTTGTCATCCAACTGTGTTTATTTTTAACCTCAACCAATCTATGAAATTGCGTGACCATCTTCCATTATACTGAGGTAGATACCAGTCTGTACATACGAATTACATAATCAGTTAAATGAATTGAATAACTGTACACGTTGAAGTACCGTTTTTCTTTTATTGTCAAAGTACACTAGGAAACCCGATATCAAAGTATTAGAAGTAATGATAATCTCAAATGTAGTAGAATAATCTGGGAATAGACCATATAGAATTCATCAAGAAACCTTAATCAATTATTTGATACTAACTAATATACTTTAATGGAATAGTCAAAATGTTATAGACTGATGTTTTTAATTGACATCATATGAACCGATTGATGTTAGACTGATGTTATTTCTGAATATGATCTCTTCTGCCTTTTCCTAGAACAACTTTGAAACTACCAGTTATTGTATGAAATGATAGACAGTCATTCAGCATAACTAACTATCTTAGTTGATAAAATTAACGTTTACATTCATAAAAATGTACATTTTCCTATAAAATATGAAACCGATCAAACTAATTTAATTGCTAATTTCATGGTTGAATTCATAAGTCAATTAACGCTAAAACCTGGGAGCACTGGATGACCTTTTTGTTCTAGCTTAGAACTCCTCAGCAGTGCACATCCACAACCCGCCCGGCGAGATTCGAACCTAGGACGTATAATTATCTCGCGCGGACGCTGAACCTCTACACCATTCAGCTGGCGTCTATAATTACATTATGATCTTAAAAATGACTATATCTACTCGTTAATTATCACTTGTTTCTTTTACTACAAAGGATGTCGACTGATTGTCGCAATCAACTGAATACTTTTAAATATAAACCGGATCAAATTAATCACAAAAAAAAACATAGAATGCATAATGTTGGAAATAACAACGGATCTACCCTAAATCCAATACTGAGAATAATATCAGCCTTAATTTTCGGTGATAAATATACAATGTACATTTTAGACAACTAATCAAATATCATATTTCAACTAGTATACTAATCTTATAAGTAAACACAAGTATGAAAACAATATTACTATTCTAGTTAGAGAATTACTAGAACCATCATCCAGAAGATACATGTGCTTAGTAACAGTTGTCTACACAAAATAATTTTGATCCGTTAGCCAGACACTACACTATGAGCAACAACCTACTATGGGAGAGAACAAACTACATTCCAGTGGAGGAAAAAATCGGGAACAAGCACTGGAAGTGTATAGGGCACATATTGCGGAAAGCACCCACCTGTGTCACAAGCCAGGCTCTCACTTGGAATCCTCAAGGCTAAAACAGAAGAGGAAGATGAAAGAACACATTATACCGAGAAATCGAGACAGATATGAGAAGAATGAACAAAAATTGGACAGAACTGGAAAGGAAGGCCTATACTCTATCGGGAGTAACAGGCATAAGTATATAAGTAAGTAAGTAAGTATTCCATATATATATATATATATATATATATATATATATATATATATATATATATATATATATATATATTACTTGATTTACCCACTAATTTCTCTCAATCGAAACATTTTCTTTACTTACAATATATATGTATATATTTATCATCTATACTTCTACTAGGCAAATGAAACAATAATAAGCTGTGAAAATACAAGTCATTCACAATGTATATCCATGCATATATGTTCAACAATAGGTTATATATATGTATATATATAAGGAAAACAATTTACATCATAATTATATCTGTTTGTTTGTGTTATTCATGATGAGAACATTACCATGAATACTTGGATTACTTTCAATGAATTCCATGATTTCATCTTCTTGGAACATTCTAGATTCTTCTATTGGAAAATTACTATAGTTATATATAGATAGATTTTTCTTCAGTAAACATCAATCTGTTCCAAAGATTATCTATGTATACTCACAGGATAGATGAGTTGACTTTGATCTATACTCATAACATTCAGTTACTATGAATATTTATCATGGATACCCATTCATAATTGTACTTAGAAACAGAATTATTTCAATGAAAGTTTATCATCATGAATTAATGTTTTATCAAATGATTAATTATGATTATTGATATAAGTAGTATTCATAGTAGTATAAGTATTATTGATATAAAAAATGTTTTAAACAAGTAATATTTTTCAATAGTATATAACATGTTTGACGAAATCTTGCTGAAAATAATGAATAAAATACAAAATTTAATGCAGCATTAATAATTAATAATACATTTGATATATTTGCATAAATTAATAGGCACTTAGTTGTATATTGTGTTGATTGTATTATACCAGTATTCCATAAATTCATTATTATTGTTGGTACCATACTTGGTAATTGTAATAATACAAATGCTATAACAATTGTAATTAACATTAATGTAATACGATGTTGTTCACCTAATTTTGTACCTTTTTTAATATTCATAATTGGTAATAAATTTGTTTGATAATTCATTGATCGATAGGATTGTGTTATACTAGATGTAATACCAATTGTTGTTCTCATACTTGCTTCTAATGCATCACGTACAATTGCTGGTACATTATGACTTGTTGTAGCTTCTTGATTTAATTGAACCATACTATATTGACGTCCATTATTATCATTATTATCATTAGAAGTATTGATATTTGTATTACTATTCGGTAATAAATCAATATTTTTCGGATCATTTATAATATTGATCGATGGTATACAATTATTATTATTATTATTATTATTATTACCTTGTTTGATCAATATTCTTCGATCATAATTGGCTTTCATCACAGATCTTATTAATAAACTATTAAATATAATTAATAATATCATTGGTAATATAATAAATATAATTTGATTAATATAATCATAACCAATTTTAATTAAAATAATATTGATTTGTGTATCAACAACTAAATATTGATTATTATTATGATGATGATTATTATTGATTGTTATATTGGTTGAATTATTGATTAATTGATTATGATGATTACTACTATTATGAGTAGTATTATAAGTAGTATGATTATATTTGATGGTTTTTTTAAAATAATCTGGTAATGTTATTAAAAAACATATAATTAATATAATAATAATAACATAACGTGCACGTTGTTTAGTACAATAACGTTTACCTAATATAGGTGATGATATAACAATATAACGTTCTAATGTAAAACTTACTGTAAGCCATGTAGTAATATTACTAAATAAATTAGCAGTACCATGTATATATGTAATACTATATGCATATAAAGTTAATTGTTGAATAGATGGATATAACCATAATGAAAATAAATAAGTAAATAATAAATATAATAAATCACATATAGATACAGCAGTTAAATAAATATTAGTTGATGAACTCATCCATTCTCTTGTTAATATAATAATATTAATAATATTGGATATAAATCCAATTAAACATAATAAGGGAGTTAAAATTTTACCACATATTAAACGCATTATAGATAATATATGATCTAAATATTCTAAATCTAATTCATTTTGTTTCGATAATGTAATAGGGATGATATAAGTAGTATGATGAGTAGTAGGAATCGTTGGTGTTGTTGTTGTCGTCGTCGTTGTAGTAGTCGTCGTAGTTGGATGAGAAGGTGGAGCAGGATGAGGAGAAGACGGAGTAGTATTAGTAGTAGTAGTATGATTACTAATAATGAAATATAGATTTGTATAATTAGACATATTATTCAATAATTGATCCAACATATTTTGTATAGATCCATTTTAATTGAAGATCATTGTCATTTGGATAAGAGATCCTTTAACAAGTTTCTAAATACATATATGATTGAATATTAAGATCTAATTATACATTTGTACAATGGAATTCTGATGTTCAAACTGACAGATGATCTTTGTTTGTTTATTTGTGAGGGTGTCTGTATGTAAGTGTGTGTTTGTGTGTTTATGTTGCTGGTTTGGTTATTCTAGTGTATGTTTCATGAATGCACAATCATTGCATTTTCATTACACATAATTATGATGGTGATGATAATAATAATAATGAAGATATAATTGAAATTGCATTTTATCTTCATCATAGAAACGTTAAGTGTGAATAAGGAACAAATCAAATGAAATACTGACCTACAACATATGGATCTATGGATGTACATATATATAACGTATTTTGTCTATTCATATCTATATTGTATTCTGGTTAGATTATCGGGTTAGGCTAAGTGACAAGGGAGGGAAGAAAGAAAGAAAGAACGAAAGTAAACACACACACACAAATTCAAGTACATATGTACATCTTTATCACAATAAGTAAATATGATCTTAAATTCAGTGTTAAAAAAAGAGAAAAGAGACATTTCCTAATGTCCACCAATGAAGTTTCATTATAATTATGTCTTTGATTGAAATCATTAGTCATTTGAAACTAGACTACCATGGAAAACCTTCAAGCACTGGACGGCCGTTTTGTCTTAGTATGGGACTCCTCAGCAGTACGCATCCACGATCACGCACCCGGCGGGATTCGTACCCAAGACCACTAGACCACTGAGCCGGCATCCAATGGTGTTAATGTATAACTTCAACCATTCTATGAAATTGCGTGACCATATTCCATTGTACCGAGGTAGATACCCATCTCTACTTGACATAGATTAGCTCCACTAGTCACGACTTCTCACTAGAACTTCGAGAATTCCATCACGAAGCTAGTCACTAATGAGCACATAGGATAAAACGGCCATCCAGTGCCTCTAGGTTTTCAATGTTAGCCTAACATCAATCGGTTCATGATCTCAATCAAAAACTTAGTTATCTCCATAACCCTATACTGATATTTATTTTTTGACCTAAATTCACTTGATTTGTCCGATTGCTATGATAGAGTATTAATACTTATAAAATTGTCGATATATTTTACTTGTATGTATCTATCTATCTATGAATATGAAATTTGAGTACAGTTATCCTTATTGATTAGACTTACTTGATGTTTAAATGTTTAATACAAAATTTAGGTCAAATTTTACACTTCTAGGAGCATTCAAATAAAGAAAACTACTGAAACTTTGTAATATTCCTTGAAGAAAGATGTAATTCATACTTCAATAAATCCATGTTGGATTAATATTAGAATTTGGTTATAAGAATAAGTAACAAACTTATGAAAAAAGAGGATAAGTGCTGAAGGTAAATGATTGAATTTCATTCTATTTTATAATTTTGGATCTATGTCTGAACTTGATTGTTAAACCATTATGTACACAGAAAACAACTTTGATTGATCAGTCTCTTATTGGTATATGAGCATCCAGTGCGGGTTACCTCGATATTGTCTCAAATCACAAGCATTCAGAGTAGAGATGGATGATGGTTAGCAGTGGAATCGAAGACACGTGTTTCGTTCTAATTAGGACTCGTCAGTTGGATGTGCCTATATCTCACAGTTGATGTTCACTTCAGGACTTGAACCCAGTACCGTTCACTTCAAATGCCATCATGTTATCCAATTAACTACTGACTCCTAATAGCAACTAGTTTGTGCAATAAGGTGAAGTGTATATACATTTAGTATTGTTTGTTTGAATCTTCCACTGCTAGCCACCATCCATCTTCTCTTATTTCTAAATTATTGTGTTGTACTAAAGATTTACTAAATCAATGTCGAATATGATGTACAAATTCATCACGCAGTTATATTTAATAATCAATCACTAATTAAAAAGAAATTAGTACAGTAAAACTATTCAATCAAGGTTTTAATTGTAAGTGAATTCGTACTGTGATCTATTTGTGGTATAAGTTAATAACATTGAGATTCGATTCCCTTGAATAATAAATCTATTGAATAAAATTATAATGAACAATGAACTGATTCAGAGAGATCTGACATTATTTCATGAAGCTTTTATTAAAGAGTAAAGCTTCTAAGTGGAAATACGTACCTACTTGTTGATTATCTAAACAATAATGAGAATAATAAAAGAATGAAATTTAGATTATTATTTGTAATGATTCGATTTATCATATTGTTAAATTCACCCCATTACACAAGGAAGTGGCTATCAGAAATCAGTAACTGAGTGAATAACGCGATGGCGTTTGAAGCGAATGGTACTGGACATCAACTTTGAGATTCAGGTGCATGCAGCTGACGAGTCTCAAGTAGGACGAAACGCTCGTCCTAGATTCCGCTACTAGCCACTATACATTATTGCTTATCATATTGTTAGTATAGAGAACTGAATTTTAATCAATCTTTATTGGTACTATATAGATTATCTTGATATATTAACGATTATTGATTATAAATCAATCTTGAATGCCGACAACGGAATATATCAACTCTTAATAGTAATAGACTCGTTGAACAACCTAATGGCTATCTAGATACCTCAATTAACTGAATAGCGTGTTTATGTGTTTGAAATGATAGGGAGTTGACTTGAGTTCCAGTAGAAACATCAACCAATTTACAGTTATATCCAGCCGAGACCAAAATTCATTTTGAAAGATAGCTATTTGAATGAATACTTAACATTTTTGCATAGGATTACAAATATATTTTAGTATTGTGGACAAGAAAAGCTTATGAAACCATTTTCGACATTATAGAGTGAGTACCTGAGAAGATTTTTAATGCCCTTAGGAATTCATTCAAAGAACTACACTCAGAGTGGTGCTGAAAGTTTAATTGTAAGCCAAGACCGGTATCACAGATGTCTGATTACTTTCGCTATTCCACTTTCCTTAAGTGGTCGATTGGATTATAAATACGTCTACAGCTCAGTAGAACACGGAATGAAGTGGACAACTTGAATACAGATAGTCAATTAAGACTTCGCAGATGACCTAGCTCTTCCATCCTATACACAGTATCAAATACAGATCAAGACATTCATTGTAGCAGCAGCCTCCTCGGCAGTTGGAATCAACGTAAAAAAAGGAAAAAGCAAGATCCTCGAAAACAACACAGAGTACAGAAAATCAATCACACTGGATGAAGAACCTCTGAACCAAGTAAAAATATTCACATACCTGATCAGCATCACCGATGAACAAGGAGCATCTGATGCTTATGTAAGGGCATAGATTGGCAAACCAAGGACTGCATTCTTACAGTTGAACAACATATGAAACTCATAACAACTGTCGACCAATATCAAACTTACAATCTTCATAACGAACGTAAAGATAGTTCTACTGTACGGGGCTGGAACTTCGAGATTTACTACAACCATCATCAAAAGTGTAGAAGTAGAATGGTGGTTGGATGCGGTCAACAAAAAACCCTGGACTCGGGTTTCGTGTTATTTGGCACTTGTCAGCAAGTTGTTTATGTACAAGTATTTATAAACAAATGTCTACACAAGCTATTCAGTGTCACTTGACCGGATATAATCAGCAACAGCCCACTGTGGAAGAGAATGCACCAGCGTCCAATTGAAGAGGAAAGTGTTAATAAACTTTGCATGCGGATGGGATACACATTGATGAAATAATCAAATCGCATCACAAAGAAAACTCTAACTTTGAATCGTGAAGGGAAACAGAAAGGTGAAAGACCAAAGAATACACTGTGTTGGGAAATGGAAGTAGATATCACGAGAATGAATAGCGATCGAAAAAAACTGTTAAGGATTGCCCAGGACAAGCTTAGTTGGTGAGTGCTGGTGGACATCCCATGTAACAAGCGTAACTAACTAAGAAATCATTTTTGGGTTGTGTGGAGCATACTGGTGGATGGCCTATGCTCCTGCACGCGGGATAACAGGTATAAGTAAGTAAGTACATGGTTACACGTATATATATGTCACGAAGTCAGCATAATATCACCATTAATCAGTAGTCTATCGGCTACCGACATTTTAATTGATTTTATAAATAATAACTTTCAGTATAAAATATCTGTCTGTTACACATATATTCTTCAGTATCCTCACTACTGAGGAATCCCACAATAGAACGAAACGGATGTCCAATGATTCCAGGTTTTAAATGGTTATATACCATCAATCGGTTCATGATCCCGATCAAAAACTTAATAATCTTGATACTTAAAAATCAAAACACTATGACAATATGTGGATACAATTTGATTACATCATTTAAATTTTATGCAATATTTTTTTGTAAGCATTGATGGATAATGGCTAGCAGTGGAATCAAGGACGCGCGATTCGGCCTATTTGGGACTCGTCAGTTGCATGCACCTGCATCTCAGAGTTGATTTCCACTCTGGGACTCGAACCCAGTACCATTCGCTTCAAAACCCATCGCGTTATCCACTCAGTTGCTGATTTCTGATAGCCACTTTCTTATGCAATAGGGTGAAGTTTAAATTCACTTGGTATTGTTTGGCTTGTATCTTCCCATTGAGAACGAAACGCGCATCCTGGATTCCACTGCTAGCCATTATCCATCATTGCTTACAAAAAGCTTGTGAATTAAGGTAATATCGATGCATACGCACAGTATGCACACGTGCCAATAACAGACTGATCAATTTCAGACTTAAACCTCAATGGGAAGATACAGGTCGAACAATACCAAGTGAAATGATGCAATATCGTTTAAAATAATCATTTAAATGTCAACATCAATGTTTTCTATACCAGATTAATCACTCATAACTAGTTTTAATGATGACTTCATTGGAAAGTATGTTAAAGTATACTTCCTTTTTTTTTGTTTTAATGTTTCAATTAAGCCCAAAATGTAACTTCACATTAAGTGAAGTAAAATGAACCCCGATTTGATATTCATTTACATCTAAGTTGATGAAGTCGAACTAAAGAAAAAAAGAAGATGGAAACAAAAAAGAAAGAAAAGAGAAAAGTATTTGATTTATTTCCATGTTGACATTATGAATAGTTTGGTCACAGATTTGATTGTTATGGTTTTTTTCTAAATATACAGTTGTTAATGCATTGAGTTTTTCAGACAGGATGGAATTACAGAGGGGGGGGGGTAAACAACCAAAACTATGTACACATGTACTAAGATACATACCAAGTATGTGAAAAGCATACATTAAATACTTCGTTTGTAAGTCTTCCATGAATTGTCTCTTATAAACTTCATTATTCCTTCATTTCGATTACTCTCTGTTAACACTGCTATTCACTTCAATTCGATCTTCTTAACATTCTGCTGTCAGGTATTCCACTTCTGAATAACATTACATACTACTTATGTCGAAAGATAT